GAAATCTAAAATATGTCACAATCCGATCTGTGATAAAGAGGAAAGGCACCAATCCCCATGGAGCTCATGAAATTCCAGCAGCCCATAAAGCAGCACGAGGTGGAGTATTTTATAATGGCATAATAATAGCTGTTAGAAGACCAAAAGTAGATTTCATGCCTAATTGGAAGTCTAGAATAAACGATTACCAACTGCAACGTCTGCACCAAAATGTTGGCGTTTCATTTGGAGTTGAAATATGTTTAATTGATCACATAAAAGGCAGATAAATATACTCCTCCCGTTACACTGGCATTGCTTACAAGTAAGTTTTAAAGAAAAAGAAAAGGACTTTAGCTATGACACATACTCATGCTTATTTAATTTCAGGCATTTAGTCTCACAGAGCAAGCCGCAATTCCTTTAGAGCCGGACCCTCAATTTTGAGCACGCTAAACCCACAGCCATGCAGGAATTCAGCAGTAATTGCATGGAAGAAAACTGTACAGAGGACTCAACTTTTATCACTGCAAACCTGATCCTAGTGAAGCAGCACATCCACCGCTGACCTCAGGGAAGCTGGGATTTTTATTTTTTCTTTTTAGATTCTATACATCTTCCACTAAACCGAGAAGTTCCTTTGCTAGCATGGAGCGTTCTGTGTATTTTCTGTTGGGATGTTACCTAATATTTATTATCCTGTGCTACCAGAAATTACACAGAGCCTTTCAGCACTGCTGAGATTAGTAGGAATCCATTCCTAACACGGGGTTAATCCCTTCCCTACACACACACATCCCCAAGAAGCATGTCCAGAACCACACACATGCTCTCACCCCAGCAGTCACGCAGCGCCGGACATGCATCCCCAGAGCTGTGGCAGCTTTGTGTTTTGTAAATTGCTAATTATCAACCAGCAGAGTAGACTTTGGGATTCAGAGACTTCATAGACTTTGTCCTGAATGTGGAGCCTGCATGGCGTGGAGGAGATCTGCTTAGTCATGAGGGAAAGGGGGTGGCTTCAGCAAGTCCACAGAGCATCTCCTGCTAGTCACTTCCAGAAATTCCCAGCCTGGCTTTGGGGGTGGCTCCTTCTCCTCCCCTGTGTAAGAGGGACAGTTTTCCTATGGCCAGGGAAAACCTGAGAAACTGCCAAGTGAAGAGAAGAGGACACTGCTTAGAAGTTGAGGTGTTTTTTGCTGCAAATTTGGAGATTTATTACACAAATCCCTAACTTTCTATGTCACAATGCTGACCAGAATCTGTTACCACTGCCAGCATCATTTACTCTTGTGGGCATAAATGGACACATTGAAATTTTAAATTTAATTTTTTTTGCCTCAGTCTCCCTCCTACATTGTTTCTCCGTTGCAGATGGGGAGCTCTTTGCATTCTCATGCCCTAGATCACACAGTATTGAGGACAGGGGCAATTATTTCATTTGAGTAAGAAGATGGCCCCAGTCTTGACTAGGCTGCTCGGTACTACTGCAACACAGGTAATTAAAAATATCTATATAGTTCATGTATCATGAATTTTAATTGGAGAATGATGTCATTGTTTAGTTCAGTTCTATAGAATGGTTTATCAGAGGGCAAACAGGCCAAATAATATAATGGAAGGTGTGGGTGGAGTGGGAGAAAAATGTGAACATCATCAAATTGACTTCAGTTCTGCGAAAGCTTCCAGGTAGGAAGACTGCAGAATGGGCCTTGTTTTATTATGGTTTTTTTCCCTCTAAATTTAAAGAGCAAAACTCTAAGACAGATTTATTACAACTTGCCCTGCAGTGTGAGAAGAGCTGACAACTTTGTAGCAGGAGGAAGAGGAAAGTCCATGCTGCAGCAGAAGGGCTGATGCTGAAGTAGAAACTTAATGTTTCTATGGTTGCCACATTTATTTTCTCCTTCCTAGTTCCTTATACCTGCAAGACCTGGGAGTATCCCAAGCCCACTCACCACAGGGCTGAGTACCAGGGTGATAATTTGCTTAGCACCAGCATTTTCTACCTTGTCTCTGGAACCTGAAAGCAGCACCACTGGAAAAAGGTGGACTACCCTACATTTAGAACAAAGCACAACTGAAAAAAATCTCCCTGGGCTCTTCCCTTTGTGGAAAATAAAAAAGTGGAGGGGGGAAGAGACAAAAGAAATACAAAAGGCTTATTATTTAATATAGGAATTAAGTTATGTTTCATATTCCTGAGAATCTGAAGACAAATCTTACAGCTCTTTCATTTTTCATTCTGCCTTGGAAAATCCTCCACAGGAAAAAAGACAGGGGCAAGGAGGAGATTTGTTCTCCCAAGTACTCTGTAAATGAAGTCCTTAAAACAGAGCTGTTAATGGGAACCCCCAAGTTCTGCTTGTGGCATGAGGAGTAGGACTTGAGTCCAACAATTTTCTCTTGCTTTGGATTATTTCTAACTCTTTCTCTTGTTAGCCCACAGAAAGTGAACTGGCACACAAAGAACATTTGGCATGAAGTACCTGAAAACCAGATCCTGCTGTTGGAAAACAACACACCATTATGGAAGCACAGAGTGAAATAATTAGCATTTATCATCTAATATCAGGCTGGATTGAATAAACCTATTAGTGATTAAAAAATGAAACCTGTAGCAATAACTAATGGAAAGTATTGTATCCATGACTTCAAAAGAAGAATGGAGAATTTGTAAGTGTAGGATGATTCCTCTTGAGTAACTGCACTGGAAACTTTTACTGCGTGACAGAGAAGGACATGGGAATAATCCTCGTGAAAAAGCTTGTAAAAGGAACTCAGATTCTGAATATCAAACACGCACCATTAATGATTCACAACTACTAAAAAGGGCTAGGAAGGATATTTAACTCCACATATTAAAAAAAAAAACCTGAAGAGGGCCACACCAATCAAGGTAAAAAAAAAAGTATTAAGTTACTTTTCATTATTTAGTGCAGCTTTGTACAAGACAGAGTTTTCTACTTTTAAAATTTTCTCATTTTTACAATAAAATTGTTTTCAAAAATCATTTTATTAGCCGTTACTATAAGTAGGAAATGACACTAAAAGTAATTGAAACAGTGTCTAAAGTTATTTTATTGACTTCGAAATGGACTTATGGTTATTTTAAAAAGTCCACAGAAGAGCCAGATTTAGAAGCACTGTTGATAATGGGCGCCTTTATCAGTCCCATAATGAAGGTTAAAAGGCATAGTTTTAACATTCTTCAGTATCTCAGAATTCATTATATGAAATATAAATTTATATCAGGAAAAAAAAATATGATTTGTATAGTCTGTACTGTAATGGAAGTTTCACTGAATGCTGATGTTAAATATATCATATTATCTAGGAATTTGGCATTTCTAAAAAACACAGACCATCTTAAGGCTGTTTAGAAGCACAGAACCTCTGAACAAGTGGGTGAGATATTTTACAAAACTGATGCCCAAGATCATTCCAATTCAAAAGCTGTGTAAAACTACCTTTATATTGTATTCCTGATTGGTTATCATTCAAAGTCAGCGCCAACTATTTTTTCAGCTCTCTCCCCTTGACAAGCCCATGCTTATATTGTGCCACATGCCTTAACACACTGCTAGGAGTGATTTCTTGTAATCTCATAATTAAATCTTTGAGCAATTTTTGCAGCAATTTCTTTTTTTTTTTTTTTTTTTTTTGTGACAGCCAAAGTGAATAATGATGTCAAACACATCACTTGATGCAGCAAATTCTGATATTAACGAGAGCACACCATGTGAAACTCCTTTTCAAAGGAGAGCACTCAGTATCATATGTCACAGTTGCTTGGTGTACGCTGGGAATTTTTAGTTAACTAGTAACAAATCATAGTAACCTTTTAAAAGGTAAATTACTTATTAAGTGATGGACTAATTGCTACCAGAAAATAGATATTTTAAAATGGAACATTATAACCATGTTTTACAACAAAAGCCTGTTCAAGGATGGGTCAGCAAGTCACAAATACAAATCCAACCCAAACCCCTGATTATTTCAAGGACAATTATAACTGATCCATCTGATTTGAAGGAGCTCAAACTCCACAGGACATCCAGAAATTGATAATTCCCTGAGCTTTTAATCACAATAAATACCAGCCTTACATCACTGATATTAATAAACGCATCTCTGTTAAGTCAGCATAGTATTGTCGTGTGTACACAGGGCCACAAAGTTACAACACCACAGGAACTTGCACTCTCTAGCTGCAGAATACCCTGGGGAGAAATGACACCAGGAAGATTACAAAACGCTCCTGCGAACCTGAGGCATGCCATCAAGACACAATATATTTCAACATAGCATCTCGGTTGTTGCAGGCTGTGAGAGGCTCCCCGACTTTCTGCGATTGGGAAATTGAGAGAAAAAAAAAAAAAAAAGAAGAAGAAAAAAGCGCCGTTCATTCATTACGAGAGCAGCCAGGTGAGCCCAGCACTGCCCTGGCGGTGCTTTCCCCAGGGGCGGCAGGAATGGACGGCGCGCAGCGGATCCATCCATCCATCCATTCATCCATCCATCCATCCATCCATCCATCCATCCATCCATCCATCCACCCATTCATCCATCCATCCGTGGATCCATCACCTCCGCCTCTGCAGGGCGGGACATCGCCCCTCCAGCCCCGAGCATCCTCCGCTGCCGGGCTGCTGCCGGACCCGGTGCAGCACCATGGACACAGCGCCCGGGCTGCCCCGGTCGGAGCTCCGGGACCGCACCTGGAGCGCGGCCGGGGCGCTCCGGGCTCCGCATCCCGTCCGCAGCGCCCGCGGCTCCGCTGCCGCCGGGGCCGCGCCGAGCGCTGCGCTCTCCCCGCTCCGGAGCAGCCTCCGCTCCGCCGAGCAGCCGGCCCGTCCCGCCCGTCTCGCCGAGCATCCCCAGCGGGCCGGGGCTCCGCTCCGTGCCCTGCCCGCCCCGAGCCCCGGCAGCCCCGCGGTGCCCTCACAGCCCGCGGTGCCCTCACAGCCCGCGGTGCCCTCACAGCCCGCGGCTCCCTCGGCCCCGCGCTGCCCCCTCACCTCGGGGACGGTCCCCGCAGCCCGCACCGCCCTGGCGCTGTCAGTTCTCAGCGGGAGAAACTGTTCCCTTCCAGCGGGATAAACTCCCCGGCTCGGCCCGGCCTCCCGGGCAGGGCCCGCCTCCCCCCGGCGCCGCCTCCCGCCGGCCCACGGCGGGGCTGGCAGCGAGCGGGCCGGGCCGGACCGGGCCGGGATCGGGGACCGGGATACCCCGGGATGGGGATGGGGATGGGGAGCGGGGGCGGCCGCAGGGATGGCGAGGAAGAGCGGGACAGCTCTCCCAGCGGGACGGGAGAGGCAGCGGGGCTGTGAGGAGCCGCCGCTCCTTCCTCCCCGTGCCCCCCGGGCAGTGCCTGCAGCCCGGCCGGTCCCCTCCGGGCCGCCTGTACCTGAGGGCAGAGCGCGGGCCCCGCGGCGCAGCTGGAATTTGATCTCTGCTCCCTGTAATCTCCCGTAACTGAAAATTCACTTTTTCCGCCTGCCGGCCGCTTTCTCTTTTGCCTCCTCATTCTCCAGCCAGCTCCGCTCTGCGCTGGGTGGTTTCGCTGGGTCACCTCACGCCAGGCTGTGTCCTGCTGTGACAGGAGTAAAGGCTTTTCTGAAAAGGTTCTTAGCAGTAACAGAGGTAAAGCAAATTCTTTTGCACTTTTTGTTGGTGGTTTGGTTTTTTTTTGGTTTTTTTGTTTTTTTTTCTTTTCGCTTGAGATTATCTCTGGGCGCTCTCCCCCCCCTCCCCGTCCCAGGAATGCAGCGCTGTATAGGCTGCGCTCCGAAGCTCTCCAGAGGCAGCAAGCCCCAACAAGCCTGTCACCTCCTCTATCTCAGCCTCCGCGGCTTTGAAAAAGAAGTTAGATGTGAAAAAAAAGGCATAAGATCAACAGGCTTTAGAGAGTCATCCTGGAACTCGAGGTGCCCCGGGATACAACAGTTTATCTCGAAAAACTCCTGATCCCTTGGACATCACTGGCAGGTTGAGAGGATCCCAAATTTGCCTCATTATGGTTCTTAGTCATCAAGCGTTTTGAAAGAGAGCCCACATTTGCTTTATTATTTGTATACTGAAGGCAATTTATAGATTAGGGTTGAACACGTCAAAATACCTGGACTACCTACAGATACTAACTTTGCCTCCAGCCTTTTGTTTATGAGAACAATCTCTCTGTCTGCAGAGGCTTGAAGCCTTGTGTTAATTTTTATGAGAATTATCTGTCTATTTGTATAGGCTTGAGGTGTTACCTCTGCCTTGACAAATCAAGGAAAATTTTTTTTCAATTCCTGCTTTTTCCCTTTCATCTGATTTTTTTTTTTAGCCTTGGAAACGCGGAAATATCTTGTTTTTTTATTTTATTTTTTTAAGTGGTTATTTTTTATTGTTTGGGTTCGGTATTTTAAAAATTATTTTAACATAGTGCAGTAATAACCTATTCCAGTAATACTCTGGCTCAGAATTAGAAGCCAGGTCCTGAAAACAAGTCAAACAAACCCTCAGAATTACCATGGATGAACAAAGAGGCAAATGTGGGTGAAACAATCTTAACAATAAGAGGTTTTAAATGCCACGGTTATTAATATTTCCAGCACTTTACAGCAATAGCTGAGGTAGTTTCAAGAAAAAGGAGAAGGATCTGAGCTGGGCACTCACAGAGTTCTGATTTAGCCCTGGTGAGAACAGAGCTGCTGCTCTCTGTGGGAGCTGCTGGAGAATTCCCCATTTAGTTAAAATGTCTGAAAATAGAGGATCCCTTCCCAAAATCAAGGTTTTAACGTGCAAACTTTTTCAAACTCCACGCAACTGGAAGCATTCCAGAAATTGGCAGGTATTGATAACATCCAGCTGTGACTGTGCAGCCCTGCTTTGAGCCCAGGCTTTTAATAAAGGCAGAAATACAAAGCACAGTTTGGATTTTAATTAAATTGCACGGGTGAGACAGATATATCTAAGTCAGTCCAGAGAAATCAGCCAAACACAGCTTTAGAAATATTACAAATACAGTATCAGTCTGTTTCTGCTCTAAGCATTGTTTTCTTTAGCAAGTTCACCTTTTGAACAGAACTCATAAAATCTAAAGCAAAACCAGAATGATAACATGTAAAAATGACTTAGATTTTGTAAATATGCATTTTAGCAGTTGAGACAGGAAAGGAAAAGATTACTTAGTCTGATTTCCTGTTTAACACAGATTTTTAGGTAGAATTTGATATCTCATTAAATGTTTCCTTTAGACAGCTTAATTTGAAGAATCAAGAGATGAAGAACCCATGTAATTAAAAAGTATGTCTTATTTATAAACTGAATTAATCTGTTGTTTTTTTTTCTTAACAAAGACTTTATTTATTTTTCAGAGAAAGCAAATAATTTCTGTCCTGGTAAAGAAATAAAATAGGCTACAAATATATTATCTATGCTGTAATCAAGTTGCTTTATACAGTAATGAAATGGTCATAATAAAGACATTTATCAGCTCCTCGTAAGTTTTTGTTTGCATTATTTGACTGTGCAGTTTTTGATGATCCAGACTTTCTCTCCTGCTTATCTGAGAGAATTCCTAAGTTTGGCTGGGACCTCTAAGAGTTATGAAACAAGAATGAAATGTCAGGCTCAGGCCTTCCTGAACCATGGGCAGTTCTTCCTTAAGTTCAAAGAGAAGCAGAAAAGACTCTCTCAGCATCAGTTCTGGTTTTAAAATTAGAAGATAATTTGCCTTCACACAAGATCAATTATATTCTGTTTTTCTTATATAAAAGCATTGGTTAATTCTTTTCATGTGAAAGAATTGCATTTTATATTAATTTTAGTCAGTCCGTTTCTCGTGGTGAGTCTTTTTGAAGCATTTATTGCATCTGAAAAAAAAAATAAATTACTTCTGTTTGCAGTTATTACTGACTGACTGTACATTAAGTGTTTCAATTATTCAGAAAATTGGAAGTAGATTAAATTGAATCATATGGCAAAAAATCGCTCTCTCTGAGATGAGAAACTGCAATGAGTACTTTGTGGGATCTCCAGATGGAAAAGGGTGTTAGCAGTGACAAAATAACCTCCCTTGAGCAGTTTCATTTCTCTTTTCCATCTTGATGAAGGAATTTCTGTGCAACAATTCCTAAGGAATTCCAGGTAGGCGTTTCTGGTTAGAAAAATGAATTTATTGGAGGTGATGCTGTGATTTTTTTACAATTGGCTTGAAAAGAGTGGCAACTTTACAAGGATTTCTACCCCTTCCCATCTCTGCAAAGACGCAAATTCCATCTTTTACTGACTTTTTTATGTTTCCTCTGAGTTTGGGCTCTCAGTCTCTGGGTGCATTGCTCAAGTTTAAAATCACCACTCGTGTGGTGTGTCCTGTCCTGATGCTGTGGGATGGAACGAAGGAGTAGCCAAACTTTTAACATCTAGAGGGCAATCTCCTCCTCTGAGAGTGCAGCCAGAAATCTGACAGACTGAGCAGCAAGTTCTGATTGTGCAAATTGCTTTGCTTTAAAGGAATGTATTTAAATAAGTTAAAAATGTCCTGTATTGCTGGCTTTTTAAAAAGTCACCCCGTGTTCTTTCTCTTGGGTAATGTAATATTTTAATTCATCTATCTGGTGTCCTTTTATTGATAAAGAGCATATCTTATTTGCCTCAGCGTATCTCATTCTGTCTTTATTGGCAGTTTTTGGTCTGGGAAGGCATGTTTTTAAAAAGTAAGTCATAATATCACACCACACTCCTATCTAGAGCTTGCACACTCTTTACTTGAAGGGAATTCAAAGTTTCAGCTGCTATCAGTAGCATTTTACACAGATTTATGGCAAAACCTGGGGAATAAACTGCCTTCCTTTGAGTGCTGGTAGAGGACTGTGCTGGGTGAATTTCTGCTCGGGTCCAGCAGGAGGGATAGAACCAGGCACGATGCAGATTTTTCCACAGATAACTGCAGGGCGGGTCAAAACAGGAACCCCTTAAAAATGAGCCTACTTTGCCTGAACTTCGAGGCTTGGATGAAAAGAGAACAAAATCCAAACCATGCCTGCTCTAAATTCACCAAAGCCAAGATCACACCAGCCTTCCTACATCTAATTGTAATGGGTTTTTTTCCCTGACCTTTAGTCTCCCCCCCGACTCTTAAGTTTTCTGATTTCATCTTGAAGGGAATAACTCCCTCTCTAGGACTGTCTGGCTCTCCTGTAGTTGGATATGATATTCCTGTTCCAGTTCCTTTCTGATTCAATTTGCACATCACAGACAGTTAGCAGGCAAAAGAAAATACAGGAATAAGGAGCTCAAGCACATACTGGTATCTGCCAGATGTGTTAATCCATCCAAAATTTATTAATGAAGGAATCCTTTTAAAGCAACCAAAAGGTCGTTTTGAGCCTCATTTCAAACCAGTTTATCTGAATTTCTTGGGTGATTGAGCTGAGACAGATTTATGGACGTAACTTCGGAAATCCAGATTTCTACAATTATACATGCTTAGACATCTGAAATGAGGAGCTGATGCAACCAAGGCTCAGGGTTGTGCTAATGTGAGATGGGAAGGAGGTGGCTGGGTTGTGGTTAAAGCATGGGACTGAGCTGCTGAGAGGTCTCGCTTCTATTCCTGGTTGTGTCACTGACTTCCTGTGGGGCACTGAAGTCACCAAGCTCTGGCTCATTTTACTCATATATAAAATAGAAATAATATTGCCCTGCTAAAGTGCTCTGAGGCAAGTCATTGCTGTCGGTACAATTGTTTCATGCTCGTAAAAGAAATTTGTGGTCAGCAGATCACAACCATATTCCTGAAGAAACTCCTTTGGGATAATTTGCTTTCTTATCCAGCAATTCAATGATTCCAGTGAAGACTAGAACCTCAAAAGGATGAATTTTAACTTAAAATGTCTCGAGAACTTTGCCTCCAGGTCTCAATCAAACCTGATTTGTTCATGAAAAGGATTGTGTTTTCCTTGTGAGAGTATGAGGAAAGTGCCCACTCCCTCATAATTGTGAAAAAATAATTAATCCCCCCATTGTTTCTTTTGGAGGACTGCTCATTTTACTCATATATAAAATGGAAATAATATTGCATTGTTAAAGCATTGTGAGACAAGC